GCTATTTTCATTCAGCAGGAAACCTGCCATCATTGAAATGCATGAGGACACGTCTTCAGCTGCCTCTCCACAGCAAACGTCTTTAACTTGTAGGAAAAACATCCCCTCTGTTTTCAGTCAGCCTGGGCTGTCAGACAGGGTGAGCAACAGCAGGACCACAGACCTGGAGTCAGTTAAGTCACATTCAGACACAGTTCCTCCCACTATTTATACCGTTTCATGTCCACACAACCTGTTGGTTTAATTTCAAACTGAAAAATTAGAAAAACGTGATGTATTTTATTGGGATTTCTTAGATGAACAAAAGAAGAATGACTCTTTACGGTTTACTATTATTTTTGTTTTTTTACGAAGTTACCTGCCTCCACCATGCTTCACCATGGAGATGGAGTGTTAAGGTTAATCTGCAGTATATATTTATAAGGAGAGCGCGTGTAGTTGTCCTTTATTTTCAGAAAGTTGTCTTTCTGAGTGCTACTGTTTCACCTCCTAATCCATCAGACATTCAGATCTGATCCGTCCTCATTTGCATCATTACAGATTTCTTTAACAGAACCTGATATCAGGAGAATATTGATGACAGCACCATAGACAACAGCTGCTCAGTCAGACAGACAGTTAGTGTGATGGAAGACAGGATCAAACTAAGCAGGAACCCATGAGGTGATGAACAGGTTCTAGCCGCTGATCTCTATTTCTTCACTGTATTATTATTATTATTATTATGAGTCACCTGCCACCATCTTCGCAATCCCCACTCTCATGGAGTCACGCCATAAAAATGCCAGTAATGTAATTATCATAACAATATAATCGATACATGTATATTACGTATATATCATCAATTTAGCGCTTTTGTCACATCATCAGATAGTGTGTGTGTGTGTGTGTGTGTGTGTGTGTGTGTGTGTGTGTGAAGGCGCGCTTTTTTTATTGCATGGTGGGGACCAATTCTATCAATCTTAGCATATTGTGGGGACCGTGTGCTCTAGTGGGGACCAATGTCTGGTCCCCATGGGTAGAAATGGTGTTTCAGGCTTAGCTGCTTAGGACTAAGGTATGAATTGAGTTAAGGTTAGGCTTGAATCCGTAATGCTTAGGGTTAAGGTAAAGGTCATTGTTAGGCTGTAGAAATGAATGGAATTCAATTGAAGGTCAGGTTAGTTTCTGGTTTAGGGTCTGGGTTAGTTGCTGGGTTAATGTCTGGGTGGTTTCTGGGTTAGTGTCTGGTTAGTTTCCGGGTTAGTGGCTGGGTTAATGCCTGGGTTCATATCTTGGTTATTGTCTGGATTAGTGGCTCGATTAATGCCTGGGTTAGTTTCTGGGTTAGTGTTTGGGTTAGTGTCTGGGTTTATGTCTGGGTTAGTGGTTGGGTTAGTGTCTGGGTTTATGTCTTGGGTTAGTGGCTGTGTTAGTGTCT